CCCTCCCTCCCCTCTGGCCTGGCCCCGCCCCTGCCCTGCCCCTCCTGGGCCCCTGATGCTCCCTGCCCCAAGTGCCCACGTCTGAAGGAGTGGGTTGACCACCCTGACCCTCCCGGGGCCTCTCAGCCCCAGCAGGGACCGCCCTCTCTGGGAACTCAGGTCCAGTAGGCTGCTGGCTGCGTCCCTGACCCGGTGTGGTCTGACCCTGTGGCCACCGGACACTCCTGCCCCTTCTTGTGAGTCAGACGCAAGGCCTGGGCCAGAACCCCGGCTCCTGTGTCCTGGGTGCGGCCTCCCCTTACGGTCTGGGGGTGCAGCTGGGCCCCCCAACCCTCCCCGGGTCATGCAGGATGCCGCAGCCCAGTTCCTGGGCTCCTCTGCGTGTACCAGCTGTTCCTGCCCTGGCGGCCCCATGGTGTGTGGGGACCGTCCCGGGACTCGTGGGGCTCGGTCAGTGTCGCCGGCGTCTCCAGCGCTTGGTCGAGGGAAAGCAGGTGCGCTGTGGGGTTTGGGCAGTGGTCCCCAGGAGCCCCAGCCACGCCCCAGGCTGGGCCTCGCCATCCTGGGGCCCACATGGACGCTGGGTGTGCCGTGGGTGTGGGCGTGGCCCCTCGGAGCCCCCAGCGCTGCCCAGGGCCCTCCCTGACCTGGTCCCTGGGGGGACAGCATCCACTGGAAGGCTGGGGCAGGGGGCCCCGGGGCTGCTCTGTGGACTCGGGTGGGAGGCGGCCGTCCGGCAGCGGGCAGCTGGGCTCTCCCGCCCCAGGCACGGCTCTGCGGGCTCTGCAGGGCCCAGCCTGTTGGGGCTGCCTCTTGAGGGGGTGTGGGGGCACCCCTGCTGCCTACGCCTGGGTGTCATGCTTGAGGTTGGGGAGCAGGCAGGGGGAGCCCCGCTGAGGCATCAAGGGGCGACAGCAGTACCCGCGGGCTGTGAGGGGATGGCACGCGCCCAGCAGGGCCAGGCGGCCACGGCTGGATGAGGAGGTGCAGGCTCACCGGCGCCGCAGCCTCCAGAGGCAGCGAGCTGCAGGCCCTCGGGGGCTTCTTGGAGCGGCGGGCTGGGTGTGGTCGCTCCCACTGCCTGTGCTCCTTGGGC